CTCCTGTCCCAGGCTGGATTGCACTTTATCCCGTGTCCCTTGGGAAATGGCTCCCAGCTACCTTTGGGTGCTCTGGGTAGCTCACAGAAAGGTTTTCCTGCCCAGGGGAACATTCTGAGCCCACACTCAGCCCCAGAGCTCCCCTGCAGGGAGGGCAGGACAATGCCCCTGCAGGGAGGGCAGGACAATGCCCTGGCAGGGAGGAGGGCAGGACAATGCCCCTGCAGGGAGGGCAGGACAATGCCCCTGCAGGGAGGACAGGACAATGCCCTGGCAGGGAAGAGGACAGGACAATGCCCCTGCAAGGAGGGCAGGACAATGCCCCTGCAGGGAGGGCAGGACAATGCCCTGGCAGGGAGGAGGGCAGGACAATGCCCCTGGAGGGAGGACAGGACAATGCCCTAGCAGGGAAGAGGACAGGACAATGCCCTAGCAGGGAGGGCAATGCCCTGGCAGGGAGGGCAGGACAATGCCCCTGCAGGGAGGACAGGACAATGCCCTGGCAGGGAGGGCAATGCCCTGGCAGGGAGGGCAGGACAATGCCCCTGGCAGGAAGGGCAGGGCAATGCCCCTGGCAGGAAGGGCAGGGCAATGCCCTTCACCCCAGTGCTGGGGTCAGGCTGTCAGGGCCGGGGCTCCCTCCTAAGCCACAACACCTCCACTTTGGATCGCAGCCCACAAAGGCATTTAGGGCCCTACCTGGGGGAAATCAATAGGAATTTAGCTGCATAAATTCGGATTAGAAATCTGAATCCCCTTGGGGATCTAAGCCTTATATCTGCATTTCCAGTTAGGTACCCAGGCCAAGAAATGTGGCTTTAATCGCTCTATCATGTCAGAATCAAGGGGCCTTTAATTTCCGTTCCCGACATGTGGCTTTCGCAGCGGCTCAAAGCTGATCTTGGAGCTGAGAGTGCAGCAAGAGGCGCCTGGTGCAGGGTCTTCCCTGCAGCAGCACTCAGCACCCGAGCTCTGCTGCCAGCACCTCCTTCCTGCCCAGCCCCGGCAGCATCAGCACTCCGGGCAGAGCGGGATCCGCTAACAAATCACGGGATGAGCACTCAGCACCCCGCAGCTCTCAGCCTCGTCACAGCTGCCCCAGACAACCCCCAAACAGAGATGTTTAAACAGAAAAAGAATTTCAACGTTCTAAAAAAAAAAAAAGAACAAAAAAGAAAAAAAAAAAGAAAGAAAAAAGAAATTAAGCAAAACAAAGAAGGTGTTTAGCTGTGAAAAGTCTCTGCCCAGCCAGAGAATTAGCTCTATCAAGGGGATGGGCTGAGCTGCAAAGCTGCTGAAGGCTGTGCTGACACGTTTTACTGAGCTGCGAGCGACACGAAGCAGCCGCCCGCCACCTGCTCCCTCTGCGAGCGAGCGGCTCCAGCGCCGCTCCCCATCCCTCCCGCCTCTGCTCATCGGCAGCCGCGGGGAGCTGCTGCTCCCCAGCCCGGGGGGACGCAGGGCTGACCCAAAACCCACCAAGGGCTGCCCGTGCTTTGGGCTCGTGGCTCTGCAAGCGGGATTTGCACTGGAATGTTCGTGCAGCTGAGCAAAGCCAGAGGAAAGGGCCGGGAGCAGGGCCTGGGATGTCACCGGGGGTTTGTCCTGCACAGGGGTGGCTGGGCTGGGCACGGGCTGAGAGGGGCTCAGGGAGGTCCTGGCTCTGTTGAGGGTTAGGAGGACAGACAGGACAGCAGCGGGGTGAGCACCACGCCTTGCTCTGCCCCCTGAGCAGGGGACACTCGTGCAGCACAGTGGGACACAGAGCTGGGCCCTCCTGGTGCCCCCATCATCGCTCCTGCAGGACAGGAGCTGCACACTGACCCCCCATACCAGAAGGGTGTCCTGCAGGCAGCTCTGGGAATTCTCAGCCCGGTTTGTGGCTGGGCTCTGGCATCACCTCCCATGGGCAGGTTGTCCCAGGCTGATCCTCTGCAGCCTCATGGAGGGGGGAGAGAAGGACCTGCAGGACAAGGAGCCTCTGGCACAGCCAGGCAGCACAGCTCTGGGGACTCCTGAGGTTTGTCACATAAACATTTGAGGACAAATTTTGCAAGAGTCACATCACGTGTGCCTCCTGTGCACACCCATGGGTCACTGAGCTGCACATCCACCTTCTCCTCCCATCCCTTCCCCAGCGAGGAGCAGCAGCTCAGCAAAGCTTCCCCAGAGCCCAGACTGCTGAAGAGTCACTGGTGAGGAGAGCAGGGTCTGCTCCTGGCAGGGCTGGCACACCCTGCAGCATCCCCTCCGTGCGCTGTCCCGAGGGCAGAGCGGCCTCGCAGCACCACCCACCCACAGAGCTCGGTGCCTGGCTCACAGAAATCCCATCTGCCCTCCCAAAGAGGCCCCAGAGGATCTCCAGTCACCCAGGAGGCAGAGGAGCCCTCCACGAGGGAGGCAAAGGAAATGAACCCGAGCAGATCCCCCACCCAGGAAAGCAGCTCTGGCATCTGGGGATTCCCAGTGATTTACAGCAGCTGGCTCTGCCAGGCCCAATTCAAACCAGCAGGGCTCTGGCACAGCCCGTGGGGCTGGGGAGCGAGGACAGGGCCAGGGCAGGGGTGTGTGCAGGCAAAGACGGGATGTCCTGAGCCCCAGGCTGTCACCCTGCGAGGAGCAGAGGCTGTGGGTGCTGTGGGCATGGGTGCTGTCCCACCACCCCACAGCCCCCCTGGCTGCCAAAGAGCCCCGGGTGCATTCTCAGCGGGTCTGTAATCTCAGGCAGAATGGAATCACCGTGGCAGTGGTGCAGGGATGGGGAGCTCAGCTGTGTCAGGGATGTTTCTGTGGGGACAGCTTGCTGAGGTGACTTGGGGTTGCTTTGTGAGGGTTCTGCGCTGCAGTCCAGAGCAATGGTGTCTCTGCTTGCTGTTTCTTGGACTGGATACCAGCAGCATTGGGCTGCAGGAGGATCTGTGCAGGTGTGTTCTGCCAGCCTGGCTGCTGGAGATCCCTCGAGGGCTGAGCCACGGGTGTGCAGGTGGGAGCTGCTGCCCACCCCCATGCTCAGGGCCAGCTGCTGGCCAGCGTGTCCTGGGTTTGGCCAGGGCAGGAGGGATGTGCAGGCAGAGCTTCCAGGCTTGTCGTGCCCACCTGTCCTTGTGTCACCTCTTGTTCTGCCCAGCGCTGGGGTGTGACAGCAGCAGTGAACATCCACAGAGCTCCAGGATTCCTGTGCCAGGGAGAACCATCAGCAGCTTTATCACAACCACACTGCTGTCCTGAGGACAGCAGCAGGCTGGGCTGGGCAGAGCGGTGCCAGCAGCCTGGCAGAGCAGCCTGTCTGTCCCTGCTCCCCAAAAAGCTCAGGGGAAGCCTCCTTTAGGTCACTGCGCAGACATTCAGCTCCCTTAGAGACTTCTCCTTCAATGTTCCATGAACATCTGACCAGAGCACTGGATCAGGAATGTTTCTGTTCCCTGAGTTCACCAAGCACCCATGTCCCACTGCGTGGTGGCATCCTGCCACGTGGGCATGGCTGGGGCTCTGCTAGTGCACCTCCATCCACTCAACTACAGTCCTGATGGAATATCCACTCCTTTCCCAGGGCATTTCAGCTTTTATTTGATGTTCAGAAATGTTAGATGAGAAAAACAAATGGGAGGCACGAGTGGCTGGAAGCCCTCAGCCATCAGGGTTTGGAGGGGCCTTGGCTGGGCTGTAGCTGGGCACAGATCTCAGCTGGGGCTCTTGCAGGAGGAAGATCACAGGGTTTGGGTTTGGGTTTGGGTTTGGCCCTGGCTGGGTCATGCTGCAAGAGCAGGAAGCTTGGTTTGCCTGGGGGTCTCTCCTGAGGAGCGGGAGCAGCAGGGAGCCATGGGGCTGAGCTGGGGACTCTGCACGGCCACCTTGAGAGGGGCTGGGGCACACAGGGGTCACAGGGGTTGGTGCTGAGGGGGTTCCTCATGGTCTTGGCACCAGCGTGAGCTGGCCATGGCATGCCAGCAGCATGCCACCTTCCCCACAGCCCCTGGGGCCCTGCTGGGCACTCAGCAGGTTCCCCACCCGAGCCCCAGCAGAGGCTGGGGATGGACAATGCTGGGAGAGGTGGAGGCCTCCAAGGGCTGTGACTGTGCCAAGGCCTCCTGCTGCAGCCATGTCCCTTTTCCCTGGATCAGGGCACTCTGTGGGCGCTGAGGATCCGTGGATGTGCAGGGCACACCCCACCCCGCTCCTGGCAGCTGGCACGGCCCAGCCCCTCTGCAGCCACACCGGCACGGCCCTGGCGCCATGGGCAGTGCCCGGCGGTGCCCGGCGGGCACTGCCCACCTGCTGCAGGCCCAGCAGCTCCCGGGGCTGGGCTCGGTGTCCCTGCAGCCTCCAGGGCCGTGCCAGTGGCCCGTGGCCCGTGGCCAGCAGCCGTGGCAGTGCCAGGGGGCCGTGCCAGGCTCCCGCCGGCCGCCCGGGCCAGGCCAGCGTGTCCCAGCAGTGGGGGCCCATTAGAAATGAAATGTTCCTCCTGGGGTATTTTATTTGCACACTTCAGTAGAGTGGACACCAAAAGGCTTTGCTAATGCTTCATGGGCTGCTAATTTCCTCTCTGACCCGCATTGTGGCGGGCTGACCCCAGCCCCAATCTGCCGGCAATGAATGCCAAAGGCTGACACCGGCCCGGGTTAGGGGTGACAATGGGGCCTCTGTGGGCTCCGGGCAGGCTCCACTTGGGAGCCGGAGAACAGCGGGAATTTGTGTGGCTCTCAAAAGCTCTGGGTGGCACAATAAGGGAGGCCCCCGGGGTCTCCCAGGAAGACAGAGGCGGCCGGGGAAGCCGGGCCGGGGGAGGCGGAGGGGCCGGGCTCCTTTGTGAGCAGCTTTCTTTAGAAAGGAAGGGTTCTCAATGCCGCCGGCCCGGCCGGGCCTGCCAGATGGATATCACAGGCACGCTGCTTATTCACGGCAGGCTGCAGCTCCGAGCCGGCCCCTTCCCCCAGCCCCGCTTCATTGGAACGCTCATTTGTTTTGTTAATGTTTTCTTGCCCTCCCCTCTCCCCGCGCAGATTGCGACTCGTACTGCAAAGCCTCCAAGGGGAAGCTGAAGATCAACATGAAGAAGTACTGCAAGAAGGACTATGGTGAGTGTCCCCTGTCGCCAGGGCCACCCAGGCACAGCCCGTGCTGGCCGCTGTGGCGATGGCTGTGCCAGGTGTCACTTGGGATGAGCAACCCGCACCCTGCTTTGGGGGCTGTCCCAGCATCTGCAGGACACTCCTGTTTTCCAAGGGTTTTCCAGCGGCTTCTGGGTTATGATGACACCATGTCCCCTCTCACTGTGCTCTTAAGTGCCGCGGCTGTTGAATATTTTAAAATATTTGAAATATTTTTTGCTGTGGGGATGAGCAGAAAGCAGTTCCCTGTCACAGTGATTTATGTCCAATCCCCCGTAATTCTCAGGAGAGTTCAGAGGGTGCTGCAGCCCTGGGACAGCTCACACTCCGTTCTGTTGGAGGTTTGGGTGATGGAATTTTGGGTGACACTCACACTCGGTTCTGTTGGAATTTTGGGTAACACTCACACTTTGTTCTGTTGGAATTTTGGGTGACACACACTCCGTTCTGTTGGAGCTTTTGGTGACACTCACACCCAGTTCTGTTGGAGGTTTGGGTGACACACACTCCGTTCTGTTGGAGCTTTTGGTGACACTCACACCCAGTTCTGTTGGAGGTTTGGGTGACACTCAACACCCGGTTCTGTTGGAGGTTTGGGTGACACTCACACCCGGATCTATTGGAATTTTGGGTGACACTCACACCCGGTTCTGTTGGAGGTTTGGGTGACACTCACACCCGGATCTGTAGGAATTTTGGGTGACACTCACACCTGGCTCTGTTTAGGGCTGCCCTGTGGGCTCCAGCAGACCCTGGGGAGGTGTGGGAGGCTCAAGAGCTGTCTGAGGCAGGAGATCCCAATGAACAGGGACGAGGTGCCGCTGGAGCAGGGATTAGGGGAGCTGGAATGAGCTTTTCCCTCCTCCTCTCTCGCTCAGCATCACTCCTGCAGCTTCACGAGCGAGCCAGAGCCGTGTGCTGGGGCTGCTCAGGTGCGGGGACACTGCCCGGTGCTGGCACTGGGTGCTCCCACCCGACCCTGCTGGCCATGGAAGGGTCCCCCACCGCCCCAGGGCCCCAGCCAGCCCCCAGCCACGCAATTTGCTCTTCTGAGGACAAACCGTGGAGGAGAGGCAGCGGGGTGAGCGATGCCGGGGCAGCGCAGGCTTTCACCAGGGCCGGGGAGGGAAGAAAGGGTTGAAAAGGTGCAGGGAGGGATAATAAAGACTTTGGGACTGACACCCCAGCAGGAAGCCAATTAGGAGGCTCTTTTCCTCACCGTTCTGCTGGCATCGCTGGGCTGAATGTCCTAAAAGGCCCTAATTAGCTTGAACAGGGTTCCTTCTCCCGCGGGCTCAATCGGCAGCTATCATCCGCCCGCTCCTCAATGGGGCTTTTTAGCTCCCCGCTTCATTCAGCCTTTCAAAGGCGGTATTTTCCCTTATTTATTTTTCGTATCTGTTTGTTTTTGTCGGGTTTGTGTTTTTTTTTTTTTCCTTTTTATTTTAATTTGGGCTTTTTCTCCCGCGAGATGGGTTTGGGTGCAAATATTTGGAGTGCAACAGGAGGCGGGGAGGGCAAGCCGGGAGATTCGGGGAGGGGGAGGCAGGAGCAGAGGCAGAAAAGCTTTTTCTGGGATTTTTTGGCTGCGTGGGGGAGCGCAGGGCCGCTCAGCTCCCAGCAAAGCAGGGAGAGAGGAGGGGTTTGCTGCGGTGGGGGCACTTAAATCCCGGGGAAGCAGAAGGGGTTCAGGCTGAGCCCACCGAGGGTGGAGACCCCAGGAAGGAGAGGGGTTGTCTGATGAGAGCAGGTGATGCTGGTTCAGGTGATGTGAACACCCTGTACTCCCTCAGGAGTACATTTTCTGCCCGATTTTGGGGATGTTCAAGCTCTCTGTGGGGTGTGACTGTGGTGAAGGAAACCTGGAGCTTTTAAATGTCCATGTAGCCCCCGATGCTGAACTGCCTGTGCTGCAGCAGGGCCGGCCCTGCACGGATGATGCTGGAAGGGTTTTGTAGCAGCACTGTGGTCCCCTGCTGGCCCTGCATCCCCAACCCAGCTCTGGGAAGGGAATGGGGCTGAGGAACAGAATCCTCATCCGAAAGGTGAGATCATCTGCTCACTTTGCCCTTTCTTGGAAAAAAAAAGTTAAAAAATCCTTCCTTCAGTGGAGCCTTCTCTTAGTCACCCCCTTTGTCGAGAGGAGCTTGGCAGGGGCTGCTGGAAAAAAGCAAAACGTGTTTTCAAAAGGCAGCTTGAAAAGAGGGAGGGAGGGGGAGAAAAACCCAAATCCCCCAAAAAACCCAGGGCAGGGGGAAGCACCAACCCTGGCACTCAGAGCCCCTTGCAGCGCTTGGAAGGTGGAGAAATCCCATTCCTGGAGCTGAGCAGTCCCTGCTGCAGCCACGTGCTGAGGGAGAGAGCCGGGGCAGTGAGGGTCCCCAGCAGCAGGGCACACCCAGGGATTAGGGATCATAAATCTCCAATATTAAACCAGTAGGAAATTGGCAACCAGAGCGAGGCAAAGCCGCCACCAAGTAAATTAAAAACTGAAAAAAAGGGGGGGAAAAAAATCACATTTTAACACTTTGCTCCAGCGAGGAGCCAGCCCTTTACATTCCCAAACCCAGATGGTGTTGGGGTCACCTTCTGCTGCTGGTTGGAATAAAATCCACATGGACTCCACTCCACTTGTGCAGTGAGAGGGGAGCCAAGCCTTTGGAGAACCCTGCCTTGGACTGGCACATCTGTCCCCAGCACGCCCTTCCACCTGGCCATATGAAATACCTTCCGACTGCTCTGTCCCCACTGCCACTCCCTGGGACCTCTCCAGGGGCCAGCACAGCCATGGTCCCAAACTGGCAGCTCCCACAGACAGATCTGTGCCTGCCATGTGTGGGATGTTCCAGGATCCCAGCACAGGATGCACAGATTTGGCCCTGCAGCCCAGCCCTGAGTCAGCCTTAGCAGGGGAAGCCTTGAACTCAGGAGGTTTATCACAAACCCCAAATGTAAATTTAAAAAGTAATTAAATAATTAGGTTTTCCCCAGCCTCCCTGTTTTCATGGCAGCTTCAGGAGTCTGGAGCCCTGACTCACCATCTCTGAATGCTGCAAGGCACTGCTTTGCTTTCAACCTTCAGCAGCTGCCCTCAGACGTTGTTTTGAGGCTTTGGGCTGGGTTTTGTTTTTATTAACATCAAACCATCCACCCCTGGGCTTTCATCTCCAGCTTCCAGCCTTCGGGGCTTTCCTGTGGCTGGAGGCTCCCAGCCAGGCCTCGAGGAGCCAGGAGCATCCCTGAGCTCTGGGGATGCAGGAGGGGACCAGGGAGCCTCCCTCCCATCCCCCAGCCCGGGGACCACCCTGTCACCTTCTTCTGGCAAAGAACCAAAACGTGGTGAGGGCTGGGAGGCACCACCCAGGTGGGATTTGTGGTTCAGGAATGTCAGTACCAGGGGGGATGTGGTTCCCGGGGCAGCCCCTGCCCTCCCCAGGACCCAGCTGTCCCCCTGCTGTCCCCCCACTGTCCCCCTGCTGTCTCCCTGCTGTCCCCCCGCTGTCCCCCCACTGTCCCCCTGCTGTCCCCCTGCTGTCCCCCCGCTGTCTCCTTGCTCCCCAGGCCCGTTTGCTGCCTGAGAGCTCCCTGGGGAGCAGAGCAGGCTGCAGGGGAGTGAACCTGGAGAAAAATCTCTGCATCCCTGGGAGTGCCTGGGGTGCAGGAGCCCCAGATTCCCCCCAGGGCTCGACTGCCCAGTTTGCAAAGGCCAGGGAGGAGCAGGCACAGGGCACAGGCAGGAGCTGGGCTGGATCCCCTCTTTGCTGAAACCAGGGTCACCAGTCTGAACCAGAGCCCATCCTGACTGAAACCAGGGTCACCAGCCTGGACCAGAGCCCATCCTCACTGAAACCAGGGTCACCAGCCCCAGCTGGAGCAGTGGAAGCTGCAGCTCCTTTGATGTTGTTCTCCTGCTCCCAGGGAACCACAGCAAGGGGAGCAGCATCCCCAGGAGGAGCCACCATCCTCTATCACCTTCCATCTGCTGCCCCAGAGGTTTTGCCAGGGGTATTTTTGCAGAGATGCAGAGATGGGGACAGGCCTGGGTTCAATGGGAACATGAGCCAGGGGAGAGCAGCTCAGCACAAAGCCAAGCTGTGTCCCAGGAGAGGGCAGCTGAAGGGCAGCACCAAGCCCCAAAGCCAGCTTTGGACTGGGGGGGCACAGCTGAGCCAGAGCCCCAAATCAGGAAGGACTGAAACCTCCTTCATGGAAGGGGGTCTTTAAATCCAGCTTAGGCACTTCCAAAAATTCATCCTGGCCCATTTCTGCCTCTCTGCATGTCCTGTGTCCCCTGGGAGATGCTGGTCCCACCTCAGCACTGAAACAGCCAGACAAACCCCACTGGAGCTGGGCTCCCAACCCGGCTCAGGAGCGTCTTGGATGTGAAGCTGTGGGCAGAAATTCGGCTGTCAGGGCAGGCAGCTGTGGCTGCACCAGCCAAGCCTTCCTCAGAGCTTTCACTCCTTCCACTTCATTAATAAAAAGGGAAAAAATAAGAGACAGGGGCCTTGACATAAAAAAAAATACAGACTGTGTGTTTTAGAGCAGAGTTTCCTGTAACCACCTCTCTCCAGTTCCTTTTCATTCATTTTCTCCATTTTGTCAGTGTGGACCCAGGCAGGTCAAAGGTTTAAGCTTTTTTGGAAAGATTTGTTTCCAAAAAATAAAAATTGGCTACTCTTCACATTTTGTTACCTTCACACCAGACAGGGAAATACATGGTCAGAGCTTAGGGTTGTTTTTTTTCCTTTTTTTTTTTTCCTTTTTCCTTTTTTTTTTTTTTTTTTAATGAAAGCATCTGGCCTCCATGACATGCTCTGAAAAAAAATACCCCATATATTTTGCAACGTGTTAAAAAGCTGTGCTGGGCTGCAGAGCTCTGCTTCCTCCCAGAGCCTGGAATCACTTGATTTTAGAGACAGGGAGATGCTCCTCCATCCAGGGGGAAAACTGGACTGTTACAAGGCAAGTGGCAGAGTTTTCCCTGAGGTTTCTGGGGGTTTCTTCTCCCTCTGTTAATTTATACAAACAGGATTGGCCCCTCAGCCAGGCAGCTGAGGCAGGCAGGTGAATGGGCAGGGGTTTATAGCTCCCAGGGCACGGAGGGAACGTGGGGAAAAGCTCAATGATTTGGCTAAAAAAGCTCTTTGTGGTTGTGCTGCACCAGCCTGTGCAGGGCCTGGCCCCTGTCTGCTCTCCCAGCCAGGCCATCCTCAGCTGGGACTTGCCTGTGTCCCTGCTGGGGGGGATTCCTCACCCACAGCTGGCAAACAAACCCAGGAGGGCTGGGCAGGGGAAGGGGTTTCCCGGGAGCTGATTCTTAGCCCTGTCTCAGCAAAGAGCAAGGGCTGAGGTTTCCTCAGTCGATGGCTACAGAGGAGGTTACACAGCATCAGCCATGGCCTTGGAAAACATCATCATCATCACCATCATCATCATCACCAGCACCTTGTGCAGGGATCAGGGATGTCCTCCCACCTCCCTCTGGCTGTGGGAGCTGGAGGTCTCTCAGTGCTGTGCCAGGACACCAGGACATCTCCTCAGAGCCCAGTGCTGCCACCCAGCCCTTGCAGAGGTTTCAGTGACTCTGCCAGGCGCAGAGCTGCAGAGCATCTCCCAAGCCTGTGGTGCTCTTGGAAGCTCTGCTGAACCTCAGATGCAGCACTGGCTGCTCCTGTTCTTGGGGGGTGGCCTGGGGACAGCTTTTGGGGCATCCACAACCCCTGGCTGCTGCAAGACCCCTCCTCCTCACACAGCCCATTAGGTAAGGCTTGAAGCTCATTTTCTCCTCACCAGCCCACACAGTAACACCTTCTCCTCTCTTGCCTGTGTGTTTTTCCTTTCCAGCTGTCCAGATCCACATCCTGAAAGCAGAAAAGAACGCGGACTGGTGGAAGTTCACGGTGAACATCATCTCCGTCTACAAACAGGGCAGCAACCGCATCCGGCGCGGGGACCAGACCCTGTGGATCCACTCCAAGGACATAGCCTGCAAGTGCCCCAAAATCAAGCCCATGAAGAAGTATCTGCTGCTGGGCAACAACGAGGACTCGCCCGACCAGAGCGGCATCATTGCGGACAAAAGCAGCCTGGTGATCCAGTGGCGGGACACGTGGGCCCGGCGGCTGCGGAAGTTCCAGCAGCGGGAGAAGAAGGGGAAGTGTAAGAAAGCCTAAAGGAGGAGGAGAGGGAGAGACTGACTGTGCATGCTGCTTTGTGTAGAGCTGGGGCGGGCAGGGACCGGCTGCCAGGGCGGGCTGGAGGGACAGGGTGGCAGCGACCACAGCTGGGGGGTGCTGGGCTTGCACCTCCTCTTCCAGGGAAGACAAAACCCAACCGGACCCAACAGGACCCAACAGAACCCAACAAAACCCAACAGAACCTAACAGGACCCAACCGGACCCAACAGAACTCAACAAAAACCAACAGAACCCAACAACACCCAACAGGACCCAACAACACCCAAGAGGACCCAACAGGACTCAACAAAAACCAACAGAACCCAACAGAACCCAACAAGATCCAACAGGACCCAACAGAATCCAAGAAAACTCAACAAAACCCAATCCATATGGACAGAACCCACGAGTGGGGTGCAGGCATGCAGCACCTGGGGCCCCCAGCTCCCTCCTGCCCCGTTGCTGAAGAACTCAGAGACACCAAACTGCCTTCCAGCTGCCAACATCTGCTGCCTCCAAAGCACGGCATGGGCACATCCACCCCGTAAGAAACTAATCAACAGCACCACTGGAAATTAACTCCCCATCCCCAAAACATGTGTTTGCAACTTAGGCTGACTGAGACAGTTCTTGTAGAGGAAACTAAACCGAGACTTTTGCTGAGGACAGACCTGAGGATCGGCGGACGGGGTCTTGGAGGGCTTTGGTATCCAACAGCCGTGGCCACCCCCTGGTGCTGCCTGGGGCGGCCGAGGTCTCCAGCTGTGAGGATGCTCTGGGGCCACTTGAGGCACAGCCACGAGGGGACAATGTTGGTGGGTGACTTCCTGCTGTGCATCACTCTGGGAATGGCTCCCAGCCCCTGGCCCTGAGGATGCTGCCCCCACCACACTGAAGGAGTGTGAGCCCACAGGGTGCCCTGTCCCCCTCCAGCCACCCATTTACAAGGAGTCAGTAACCAGGATCCCCAAGGAAACACCCAGACCTGACAAAAAATAAGTTGGCATCCAGTTCCCACAAAGTGCCCCGGAAGATCCTGCCAGTCTCAGTCCCTGAATCTCCACTGTGGCCACCCCTGAACCTCCTCCACGGGCTCTTCCCCTCTGCTGCTGTCAGCACACCAGGAACCCTCAGAGGGTAGAAAACCCCTGCAGGTGACACCAGGGTCCTGGCTGGTCACTGGTTCCACTCCCAGTTTCAGGCAGCTCTCCCAAACCCCCAGCAGCTCTGCCCTTGCTCCCTCTGGAGCTGCAGCCCCTGACATCCCTGTGAAAGTCTTGGAGACAAAGTGGGAGCAGAGGGTGCCAGGGACTGTCCCCATGGGCCAGGGCAGAGCTCTGAGGCCTGGCCGGGGCACAGCCCACACAGGGAAGGGGTCTCAGCCAGGAGCAAGGTGTGACCCACCTGGAGCTCTCCTCCCTCTGCTGGGGGGGCAACCAGCCAATTTACAATTCCCAATTTCCAGTCATTAATGCACTGAGCACAGCGGAGGCTGCCTCACCTCAGACTGGAGCATCCTGTGGGCAGGACTGGCTCTGGAGCTGTGACCCCCATGCCAGGCTGTTCTCCCCATGCCAGGCTGCTCCCCTGCCACAGCAGCCCCCGGGGAATGGGGATTTCCAATCCCACCTCCTCCAGGGAGAGCGGGAATTCCTGGGCAGGAAGGCAGGGAGGGCAGGATGCTACCTGGAGGAGAAGCAAACATTAGTCGCTATGAAAAGCAAAACCTCCCTGCTATTTTTCCTTTTAGGAAACTTGGAAACATCTCTTTTATGACATTTTCCAGTGGTTTTGCCTTGTTTTATAGCAATTGACAATATTTATATAATGACATAAACCACCATAAAGCAGGGCAGCCATGTAAATAGGTGCACAGAGGAGGCTCCCAGGGCTGCTGGAGACACCACCCGGAGGGACCCAGCTCTGCTGAGCCTCCCCTGCCACCACAAGGCCCCCAAAATTCATCGGGATATTGGGAGAAAAATCCCACCCTGGACATCAAGCAACTCTTCCCACCAAGTCTGTGTGTTCTCCCCTTTCCCAAACTGGATTTGGTTTTCCTTATCTCAGAGCTCAAGGAGAGCTGAGGGTTTTGCAGCCAAGGGAAGTGAAGCCACCAGGTTCTGAGGGGTAAAATCTGACCTCAAGTGTCTAAATGGAGGCTTAAAGCCCTAAACCAGGGCTTGGATGCTCTCCTGCAGCCACCATCAGCTGCTGCCAGGGTGGGGACAGCACATCCCCAGGCAGCCGGGATGTCCCCAGCCCTCAAATGGTGCCTAAAGGTAACAGAATCCAGCCCAAAGCCAGCTCTCCACGTGGAGAGCAGGAGGAAAGGCCAGGGCACCTGGGGACTCGGGAGCTGCCCACAGCACACCTGGACACCCCAAACCCCCCAGGGACACCCTCCAGCCCCTTCCCTGCTCCCACTGCTCCTGGAGGCTGCAGAAGACCCCCACCCCTGATCCTACAGCCAGACCCCTCCAGGCACTGCCACAGCCGGGGGCTCAGGAGGAAATGAGCTGGCACAGCAGGCAGGATCCTGGCCCAGACCTGTCCCTCCATCCTGCTGGAGTTTTGTGCTTCCCAGGCAGCCCAAGCCCTGACTCCATCCACGGTGCCAGTGCCCCCTGGGCTCCCAGCAGCCCTGACCCTGGAGCAGCTCTGCTGCGAGGGCACAGCAGCCCCTTTGGGGCTCCAGAGGGGCAGCCCTTCCCTGCAGCACCCCTGCTCTAGGACATCTCCAGGAGGACACCTCTGCTGTCCCCCAGAGGGACAGGATGTCCCCTCAACACAGCCCTGGGGCACCGACCCCCTTCTGGCCAGCAGGGACCCAGCCATGGCCACCATCGCCCTGGGGACAGCAGGGGCACCCCCAGGACAGCGGGGTGGCCGGGAAGGGGCTGTGGTGCCTTCAGGGAGGCTTTGGAGAGCAGCTGAAATGCCAAAACAATCATCACTGACCGTAGCACCCGACAGAAGTCGCTTGGTCTCGTTTCTGTTCGTCCGTCGTGTCCGTGCCCCTCCCGCCCCGCCTCGCCCCCTCACAAACCTGTGTTCCTTTTGGGGTTGTTTTATTTTGTTGATTTTTTTTTTATTATTTCTGTTAATATCTTGAACTGTAAATGTTGTTTAGTTATGACCATGGCAGACTGCTTTGGGCGATGTTTCTTTACAATGCATACTAATATATTATGGTTATTATATATGAATATATTTAATGACACGTGAAAAAGTTGTGGATTTTCTTATTGTTTTTCCAAGTTGTTTCTTTTTTTTTTTTTCCTTTTTTTTCCCCCTTTTGTTTGTTTGTTCGTTAGATTGGCTGTAATTGACCCGAAGGAGCTTGTAACTGTTCAGCACCCCCTCGGTAGAACTAAAGTCAGAAACCGGTTGAATAAACTCTTGTAAACTGTAAAAATCTCCAGGAATTTCTGCTTTTTCCCAGCCCACTGCTCAGTGAACCTGTGGGACAAGGACCTGGGCAAGGAAATGACGGTGTCCCCTCCACCCCCTGGGTCTGTCAGTGGCCCCTTGGCAGGCCTGAGGTGGCACAGCTATTTGTGACTGGCAGTGCCAGCCCTGTCCCTGCCCAGCACCCCCAGGCAGCGGCCACTGGCCCTGGGGACAGCGGGGTCACCGTGGGTGGGTGGCAGGGAGGTCCCTGCGGGCTCAGCTGTGCCCTGCAGTGGGACAGAGCCAAAACCCTCCCGGAGCTGGGGGACAGGTGGGGACGGCCAAAGTCTGGATCAGGACAGCTGCCAGCCCACTCTGGAGCCGTTTCTGCCCCAGCCAGGGGCTGCTGGGCCGTGCTGGCCCTTCCTGCCCATGCTGGAGCTCAGGCTCCGGCAGCCCCAGCAGGATCAGCAGCGCCAGCGCCGGTGGAAGGCAAGGGCTGGTGGCACCCTCAGCCCAGAGAGCTGGAGGGGGGGAACTGAGGCAGCAAAATGCTTCCAGGGACAAAAATCCAGGCAAAAGGTGCTGCCAAGCGCTGGGGGTCAGCCCAGCTGACCCGAGCCTTCAGCAGTGCTGGGGATTTATGAATCCAAAAACATCCCGGGGCCGGAAATGTCAGATGTTTATTGCAGAGACAAATGGGTCACAAGTGCCAGCCCTCTGCTCCGAGGGGCAAATGGGCTTCCCAGATTGCAGGTGGCCACTTGTCCAAAGGTGACACGGGGCTCTGGAAAGAGGGGGATGAGGCTTTTCCCACGGAGGGCTGGACCTGGAGTGGTTTTGCCAGCCTGGTCCCAGCAGGCAGTGTGGGAGAGGAGCCATCCACACACCGAGCCCACCCCAGGGATCAGGGAATGGGAAATGCCCAGCAGCATTCCAGGATGAGGTGGGGATTTTTCCCAGGGCACTGGGGCACACACCAGACTTGCCCCCAGCACTGGGATTTTTGATGAAACCATGGCTGGAAGCAGCTGAACTCCTGAGCACGTCCTCCAGGACAGAGATGGAGGAGGTGGCAGGGAAGGTGAAGACTGGGATGTCTCTGGGCACATTCCAGGAAGATTTTTTGCTTGGAGAAGCCACTCCAGGTTGGCTCCTCCACCACTGCTGCTTGGAGCCAAACCCTGGCATCTCTCGTATTTTAACCTTTCTTTTTCTGTAGTGGGGCAGGGAGACAGAAAAGCTTCCCTGCACACAGCAGAGCGCTGCCAAATCCGCTGCTTTTTAATAAAATTCCTCACCAACACCACACATTAAATGCTACCTAAAGGGCAAGGCTGAGATCCCCTTTGTTGGCCAGCACAGCGAGCAAGTCCTGCTGTTTCCACCCTTCCCAGGCACTCACAGGAAGAATGTGTTGGAGGATCCAGTGGGTCAGAAAAGCCTTTGAAAGCCTGGGTCAGAACAAAGGGCTGCGGAACGCTGACCAGGATGAGTTACACGTCCATCCTGTGTGTCCTGGGAATTCAAACAAAGCTGTAATTCCCTCTAGAAGTGGCAGTTTTAATTAGGAGCCCAGGCCCGTGGTCTCCTCTGGACAAAGCCCACGTTGCTCTCTGGCTGCCACTGAAGATCCACGGGGCTGCTCCAGAGCTGGCAGTGAAATCCTGCTCCAGGTTTGGAGGCTGCTGCTGAGGAACAGCTCCAGGAGCATTCCCAGTGTCCACAGAGCTGCAGGAATGCACGGATTTGGAACTCCTCTCCAAAACCTTTCCTTGTTCCCAGCTGGAGCAGCCCTGCCTAAAGCTCCATTGCTAATCTGACATCAACAATA